CTTTTTAGTTCCTATTTTATTTTGATAAGGGCGCTAACATTTATTACCTAGTGGTAATATTTCATTTACTATAGAGGCCAAAATTCTGATTACGATCCCAAGAGCGTTTGTTTCATCAGCGTTGTCCATTTTAACAAATATTTGGTAATAAGCGAATGCAATATGTCCATTCTTTGACTCTGGGTTAGTGATAGGATTAGTGGGAATCAGAACCGACATTAGCATTCCAACTCTGTGAAAGTTTCTAGGCACGTTTTTCTTTATGCTTTTTATTCTGAATCTGAAGTGCAGTTTCACGATTTATACGTGATGATTACTGACTTGAAGAGTGGTTTCATGGTTGACACCGCGAGAAGTGTGGTGGATGACTACAGATTAAAATAGATTGACTCACCTTTGTATACAAAAATCTTAGAAACAATTAGTTTCACGGCTGATGCTGAAATTGGAGTCTCGATTTGAAAATATGAGCCTGCTAAAATCTACATATACTCTTAAATATCAAAAATGGGTTCAAATTTCAGCATTAGCCGTGACAATTAATATCTTCTTTTACAAATGAAAAATAAAGTTACTGGTTGTCTTTAATATTCACATTACACTTGATGTTGTCTCTATTGACTGAATCAAAAACTTGGGAATTTGTAGTCCCGTGATGATCTGCGTTAAATTTCATTGGCGAATAACTAAATCGCGGATCGTCAATATAAAAAAGTAACAGGTAGGTTTGTAAGCAAATTTGGAGTTACGTATGGGCGATTTTTTGAGCGAATTCTCTTTATAGAGATAATGCATAAATTACGTAGTAGCACCTGAAATAAATTTCTTAAACTATCATCTCAATAAAGTGAAGGATCTAGAGTTCTCAACCACCGCATAGAAATAATGCGCCAAGAATAATAGCAACTATTCTATGCATACTGCTTAAAAATAAGTGCTACTGAATTTATAGACATCTAAGCAAAATTTATTTGTGTCGCCAAATAAAAAACAAGAATTCCAAATCTAGATGATCTATATTATCACTTTTTTTACTTGTATTTTCTTAAAATAACCTATTTTTTAAAAATTTGTAAAAAAAACGAGATGGAATATAGAATTTTTGGTTAAATTCTTGATATATTGGCACGTGAAACTAAAAGTGGTACTAACAGTAACTGGTCTTGCTGCTTCTACATCTTGTTTGTAATATATTTAGTGTACTAATAACATTATTTTCTCTAGTCCTCTCAGATACTAAATCGTGAACTTGGTTCACGATCACATTCAAATGAAATTTAACAATGAAGTTAATCACAAATGGGATTTTTAGTATATAACTGATTACTAACCGATCTTTTTTTTTCTTACGGTAGTCACGGGACAAGAAAACAACTTTATAACTAATAAGAGTAGAAACAACTTCTACTAAAAAAAGAAATAACAGAAATGGATGAAATGAACGTTGTACTATATCAGGTAGTAGTACTTACGGAAGATGGCACGATAATGGAACAGGTGATTAATAGTAAATTTATGGTCCTCTTTCAAATAGAGCTGGGATCCGTTGAATATCCATTATGACTATTCAATGAATATTCGCGAGTTCTTGCCATCCACGAATGATATTTGAATGAATATTCATAGATGTTCACATAATAGTAAAATCTTAGATTATTCATTCGAATATTCACGAATTCCATGTAAAAAACTAATAATACTCTAATCCTTAACCATTCGTGAATTTTGTGTAACCAAATATTCACTTTTAATTAAATATTCATTTTTAACCGTGGATATTCACGGATCCCAGCTCTACTCTCAAGAACTTGGTAGTAGTTAGAATATGAATAAATCTATAGGCACTTAAAATAGCCTTATATGAGTGAAATTTTAAAACACCCAGAACAGTTTCATTTAGGAAGATTTTGAAATATTGCTTTTTAAAGTTTGTTTCTTCGCTCTTCGTGAAATGTGTCACTTTTGACACATGTTATTCTGTAAGTGAAGACAACAGGGGGGAAACGTCAAAGGTTACACAAACTGACATGTGATCGACAGCCTGCATATTTATGTCAATCAAATAATTTATACATAGTACTGTAAATACGATAATAAAAATACGATAATAATTAGATAATATCGACTAATAAAATATATTTAAAAACTTTATTTTATTAAAAAATTTATTTTATTACAAATTCAAAAATGTTGATTTTACATATTTTAATAACTCTTCTACATCAATCGCATTGCCTATTATTTCATCTGCATTACCCGAATCATCTTCATCTTCATCCTTATCCCTATCATCAAGTATTCCAACATTAACTATGTTACTAGTCATACTTACTATTAGCACATCGACATTTTTCTGGATTTCACCTTGAAGATAACCTAAACAAATAGAACATTTAAAATAAGATTTTTGTAAACAATGATTATGATAACCATGCCCACATACCAAAATGTAGCCATTAAGCAAATCGTAGGTCCTATCACAATTCAATGAGTCACATAACAAAGACACATTAGGTTTTTTAGAAGTAACAAAACCTCTCGGAAGGTGATGATCCGTTATTTTAAAGCCTAATAAAGGTACTTCATATGTATTAATACCATCATTACTTGTGGATTTAACGATAGGGGATTTGTCACGATTCCGATACACTTTTGCAAATATTTCCAAAAGAGATATGGAACATTTTTGAAAAAGCATATCTAATTGTTTCGGCATATATAGATACTTCACGGAATTTACAAAATTTTGTTGAAAGGTATTGTTGTGTCTCCTTTTGTAATTGCTCAGCCGTAAGAAATTTAACAGTATGTCTTCAAATAATGCTGTGAGCGACTTCAACAGGACTATCACTAAAAGAAGCAAGATGGTTAGTAATTAAATTCATTATTGGATGGCCTGTTTCAATCCAATAAAAAACATCTGAAAAAAACATTAAGGGGCACGCTTATAATTTCTTCTATTGAATCGTAAGAAAAGGTCGCTCCAACAACACATGCATGCTTCCTCATATGATGGCCAATCCCCACTCCGATAGTGTACAGCATAGATGTCAAAAACTAAGGAAACTAAATTGCTAAATAAATCAGTAAGATATAAAAACTCAATATTTTTACACATAAATCCAAATTTTGCATAAACCGTATCCGCAATATTGGACCATGCCAAGCGCACAATGTGGAGAATTAAATTAATTCTTCATGGTTGTGGCTTCTGGCCGAGTTTCTTCTTCGCTCCAAATACCCTCTTGTAAATGTCACTAAATAATAAATAATTTTTTTTGTAAACGAGTTCGCGAGAATTTAAAGACACATGAAGAGGCCCTAAAATGGGCAAAAATGACATAACAAACTGTAGAATACTCTCATTATTAAGAAGAAGCCGTTGTGCAATGGCCTTACAGATAAAAAATTGCCCAGGCCAATCCGCGACAGTAGGAACAGCATAATTAGAAAGATAAATTCGCATTGGCTCATTGT